CCCGATTGTGAACATCGTCACGCAATGGAGGCAATGATCACGAATTATAATCACCCGTAATTCATGATCCATCCCCGAGGCGACCAGAGTGGTGAAGTATGGTCTAATAGTGCCCCACTCCCCCCCCCCCACACACGGTTTTGTGGAGTGGCCATCGCCATCACCAACCAGCAGTGGATTGGCACAGAGGAGGGGGCTGTACTCGCATGCGTTTGAGTCGCGATTTTTTTGCCGTCAAATGTTAACCCTGCGAATTGAAAGTCGCATCGCTGTAAATGTCGTATAGACGTCGTATAAACGTTGCATAAACCGTTGTATGAACGTTGTACGAACGCTGTATAAATACTGCAGATGGAAACAAACGACACGGGACAGCACATGTTAGGCAAAAATTAAGTCACATTTTTTATTACGCGATATCGTTCATCAACATTAAAAAAAACACACAATACGACACGACTTGTAACTGAATCGAGAAATTTAATTGTACGATGTTTAAAAACACTTGCACTGAAAAAGTTAGATTTTTTTGCCGAAAGTCAAGATTTCATAATAGCTAAATTGTCTTCTCGCCCTGTGCAAGTGTGTGTGTGTTAAAATCTGTGTGTTCTGCAGTGTGTGTGTGTTAAAATCTGTGTGTTCTACAGTGTGTGTGTGTTAAAATCTGTATGTTCTGCAGTGTGTGTGTTAAAATCTGTATGTTCTGCAGTGTGTGTGTTAAAATCTGTGTGTTCTGCAGTGTGTGTGTGTGTTAAAATCTGTGTGTTCTACAGTGTGTGTGTGTTAAAATCTGTATGTTCTGCAGTGTGTGTGTTAAAATCTGTATGTTCTGCAGTGTGTGTGTTAAAATCTGTGTGTTCTGCAGTGTGTGTGTTAAAATATGTGTGTTCTACAGTGCGTGTGTGTTAAAATCTGTATGTTCTGCAGTGTGTGTGTTAAAATCTGTGTGTTCTGCAGTGTGTGTGTGTGTTAAAATCTGTGTGTTCTGCAGTGTGTGTGTGTGTGTTAAAATCTGTATGTTCTGCAGTGTGTGTGTGTTAAAATCTGTGTGTTCTACAGTGTGTGTGTGTGTGTTAAAATCTGTATGTTCTGCAGTGTGTGTGTTAAAATCTGTATGTTCTGCAGTGTGTGTGTGTTAAAATCTGTATGTTCTGCAGTGTGTGTGTGTTAAAATCTATGTGTTCTGCAGTGTGTGTGTTAAAATCTGTGTGTTCTGCAGTGTGTGTGTGTTAAAATCTGTATGTTCTGCAGTGTGTGTGTGTTAAAATCTGTATGTTCTGCAGTGTGTGTGTGTTAAAATCTATGTGTTCTGCAGTGTGTGTGTTAAAATCTGTGTGTTCTGCAGTGTGTGTGTGTGTTAAAATCTGTGTGTTCTGCAGTGTGTGTGTGTGTTAAAATCTGTGTGTTCTGCAGTGTGTGTGTTAAAATTTGTGTGTTCTGCAGTGTGTGTGTGTGTGTTAAAATCTGTGTGTTCTGCAGTGTGTGTGTGTGTGTTAAAATCTGTGTGTTCTGCAGTGTGTGTGTTAAAATCTGTGTGTTCTGCAGTGTGTGAGTGTGGATTCTGTGTGTTCTCTAGTGTGTGTGTGAGTGTGGATTCTGTGTGTTCTGCAGTGTGTGTGAGTGTGTAATCTGTATGTTCTGCAGTGTGTGTGTGTGGAATCTGTGTGTTCTGCAGTGTGTGTGTGTTCTGCAGTGTGTGTGTGTAATCTGTGTGTTCTGCAGTGTGTGTGTGTGGAATCTGTGTGTTCTGCAGTGTGTGTGTGTGGAATCTGTGTGTTCTGCAGTGTGTGTGTGTGTGTTCTGCAGTGTGTGTGTGTGTTCTGCAGTGTGTGTGTGTGTTCTGCAGTGTGTGTGTGTGTTCTGCAGTGTGTGTGTGTGTTCTGCAGTGTGTGCGAAGGATGCTACTGGGCAGTTGGAGGCAGTCGCCTTCCAACAACAGCGGAGCAGCGACGCTCACAACAACGGGCAGGAGCGCCGGGCGGATAAAACGCAGCGAGTTGGCACAGTGGGTGATGCGTGCATCGTCGAAGTCATCTCAGCTCGGTCGCATCCCACGGCACCCCCCGCCTGTTCCGCGACCTTCACGTGCCCTCGAGGTGCACCTAGCCTGGCACAAGCGCCGTTGTGACGTCGCCGCCACTTTGTGACGTAATCGGCGATGGTTGTTATTGTTGTTTGTATATCCCCCGTCCCCCACCCCTGTGGTTTTGCACGAGTTATCCACCTTCCTCCCATAGCAAAGACTAAAAATATCCCCCCATATAGCCCCAACAGACTGTAGGGGCAAGCGCTGTTAGCGAGCACCTATTAAGGCCGGAACGGCTACACGTTAGGGGGTGTGGTGTGGCTAGCACCACGCCCGGCCACCTTTGTCTCCCTGCAAGGCGATGTTCATCCCGAGCCGATCCTGGGCTTCCCCTAGGTCGACTCAGCCTCAAATGAGAAACCTTGTGCGGAGTGTAAAACATCGCCACTGGGGAGACAAAGGCGGCCGGGCGTGGTGCTGGACACCCCCCACCACCCCAGCTGGTGCAGCCCTTTCCGGTCATCATCGCTCCTCCTCGCTAACCGCACTTGGCCCAACAGTCTGTCAGGGCTATACGGGGGACCTTTGTCTTTTTATTTCTCACCTCGAGTAAGTCACGTGCCGCATCACGTGCACGACCCAATTACGAACAACAGCGACGACGATGATTAGCCAATGACAACGGCGAGTCGTCTTCTTATTCTTCTTCTTAATAATAATAACAATAACAACAACAGCAGCAGCAGCGTTAAAGCCAACAAAAGTATTAATGGGAAACATTGAAAATAATTCTCTTCACTGCTGCAACAACATCAACAACACTCCGAACAGATAAGAGATATATTTGCGAATCCATCATAATTCACAATTACCGTAATCTCCGGATTATAAGACGCACCCCCCCCCCCCTCTCCATCCCTTAGTATTGTAAAGCAAAAGTTGGGGGTGCGTCTTAGAGTGTGTTTGTGTGTGTGGGGGGAGCGGTAGCGTAGCGGTTAACGCGCTCACGGCCAACACCGGTGACGATTATCTGAACCGGTCCTGGGCAATCCCCTAGGTCGACTCAGCCTCAAAAAAACAGCGCCAACGTTGGAGACAAAGGCGGTCGGGCCTGGTGCTGGTCACCCACTCCCTTCATAGGAGTGCAGCACTTGCCCCAATAGTCTGTGAAGGCTATACGGGGGATATTTGTCTTTTTGTGTGATACCAGATTTGTTACAACTTTGTTGGAAACACGTTCAAGGGGTTTCGTCTAACACCAGAGAATACGGTAATTATAACAACAACAACAGCAATAACAACAGTAACATTGTAACGACCAAATATGATTGCTCGATATGAAGTTGTGATTGTGTGCGCGAGGCGGTGAGCGGAATCTCCATCTGTGTAAACAAAGCGATTAAAAACTAATCAACCGAGAAATCGATGCGTGTCTCTACACAAGAAGAGCTTAACCTTGGTCACACTCACTCACCTGCCCAACCACTTAAGGGGCCGTCCATAAATGACGTCACGCGATTTTGGACGATCTTTGACCCCCCCCCCCTTCGTCACACGGCGTCACAAAAAGTCAGACCCCCCACCTCAAATATGACGTCACAAAGCTCTGCCCTCCCCCCCCCCCCCAAAAGAAACATGCTTAAAATCGCTTTAAACTATTGTCATTGTAGTGCGTATTTAATGCGGCGTTGCACTCTGATGTTGTAGGATAAAACATTTATTAAAAAGTCTATTTAATTAAGTAGAACGTGTTGTCTATATTTATTTAAAGTTGCGCATTTTGATGTGACGTCACATTTCTCACCCCCCCCCCGCTCCCCATCGTCACACAGCGTCACAAATGTCTGACTCCCCACCCCCCACCCCCAGGTGCGTGACGTCATTTATGGACGGCCCCTTATGCACTCGACCACGCATTCACTCACTCGTTCACCCATCAATCCAACTGCTCACCCACTCGCTCACCTGTTCATCCACCCGACTATAAAGACAAATGTCCCACCCCACGTAATCCTGAAGGCTGTTGGGGCAAGTGCTGTTAGCGGGCACCTTTGATGGCTGGCACAACACACACGGTGGGAGGGGGGTGGCGGTGGTGGCGGTGGTGGTGGTGTGGGCAGAATCACGGCCCAGCCGCCTTTGTCTCTCCAATACCGACGCTCACACATCGCACCAGGTGCACATTTACAGCTGAGTCAACCTAGAGGGCCGACGGGGGGGGGGCGGGGAGAGAGATAGAATTCGTCACGCGCGTTGCTTCGCGCGAGCTGGGGTCGAACCCGGGTTAACTCGCTCACCGTTAGGCAGCCGCTCCACCCACTCGCACACTCACCCAAACCACTCACTGCGCTCACCCATTCACACCTCCAACCCGCTCACCGCTACCATTCACCACAACCGTTTGTATCATAGGCCACCGTAACCGTCATACATCGTAATCAATATTAATGCGAATCTGTGCTCAAATTAATTACCCTCAATATGTTTAAAGTTCTGAGATTTCGAATCCAAATCAGGATCTACTGGTTCGCCATCATCATCTTGGTCAGTAAAGTGAGCACCACATTGTGAAGAAAAGTCAGCAGTGGTTATTAAACCTACGGATGTGCTATTCCCCGTTATGGGAACGTGGAATGGACACAGCTTGGCACACAGACGCCAGCGACAATCGCTGTTATTCATTCCCATAATTTCCACCGCATCATTATTAGTGGTTGTGCATATGGGACAGTCTTTCCCACACCCCGTCATAGAAATATGGAATTTACACAGGTTAAATCAACAGTAAAAATGTTTACTTAAAACTTCCATTACTGCAGGAATTCATATTCTTTGGTTATTTCGGCCAAGTCACGTAGATAGAAAAAATAAAAATAGTTAAAAAATTTAAAATAACAAAAATATATGAAAACAAATGGTAAAGTCACGTAGATAAAAAATAAAAATAATAAAAAAAATAACAAAAACTCAGGCCTGATGACGACCGCTTGTGTTGCGATTGAAACGTCGTTAGTTTATATATATATTTTTTATTATCTTCGTGACTTTACCGAAAGAACCAAAGAACATGAATCACCAGTTGTTGTTGTTTATTGCAGTGGTTGCCTATTGGGTCGGGATGGACTTGGCACCGTCACGCCACCGTGGAACGTACGAGTCGCGCTTGACGAGATGCAACGGAGAGTCTTCTCGTCGCTGGGCTAAATCACGGACATCCTGGTCCCCGTCAAAGCAACGGCGAAATGCCCAGGACGAAACAGAGACCACGAAACGTTCTCCCAAACGCGAATAAATTGCGCGCGCGGTGGGTGGGGGTGGGGATGGGGGGGGTGTGACGAGCGAACTTTAAAATTCTACAACACGAACAAAATAAATAACAACGATAACATCAAAAGTGTGTGTGTGTGTGCATATAGAAATGTCATTCACTCGGGGAGAGAGAGGCCTCGGGGAGGGAGGGGGTGTGTGTGGCGAGCCTCAACGAGGAGTCTCATGGCTCGCTTACGGGAGGGTCCTGCTCCGTGGCCGAGCGCGCTGAGAGAGAGACGCGCCTCGAGGTCCGCGAGAGGACCTTGTCGCTGGCTGGGTGGGCCTGCTGCGTCCGCCGCGGCGAAGTCCAGGAAACGGGCCCAGAATCGACGGACTTTTGGCGTCCCGCACGAGCGATAGTGCATCGCGGGGATGGGGCTGGGCAGCAGGTAAGCAACCCACTTGCTGCGCTACCGTGTTACATCGCTGCCGCCACCGCCGCAGCTGTCCTCTCGCTCGACCGTCAAACACCCCCCCACCCCCAACTAAAGCGAATACCCACGCTTTGCCCCGCCATCATCGCCATCGCCCGTGACCCCCATCATCGCTGCCCTCCGTGTGTCCGTGGTTGAGCCTCCCAGAAACCGTGCGGCCTTAATCATCGTCACCGTCGTCGCCATCGTTACCATCCCTGTTCAGCCTCCCAGAAGTGTTGCTAGCCAGAGGTGACAGCAGCAGCAGCAGCAGGGACAGCTGCCACTGGGGGTGCCCGTAGGCTAGACCGCGTAGCAATCACCACCCCCCCCACTGGCAGACTGATGCCTGCCCGCAGGCCAGGCGCGCTGAGTCCTCCTTGCACCACACAGGGACAGCTGCCACTGGGGGTGCCCTTTCACATTATATTTGAGATGGGACGTGTGATGCCACTCTTGGAGTAACGGAGGGCGGCCTCCATCGAACACACAAACCACGATCATCATCATCATTGTTACCTGGCTGAGCCTCCAAGACATTCTGGCAGCCATCATCATCATAATCATCCCCACGTGGTCCCCCCTACGCGTCACGCCTCCAGGGAATGTTGGTAGCCATCGCCGCCACCGCCATCATCGTCATCGTCGTCGTCACCACCACCGTCCCTATCACGTCCCGCAGAAATGTGGAATCCTTATTCGCCGCCGCCGCCATCATCACCGCCGCCATCGCCGCCGCCATCATCGCCGCCGCCATCATCACCGCCGCCATCATCACCGCCGCCATCGCCGCCGTTGCGCCGTCGTCATCAGGGCAGGCAGATGAGGGTCTTGCCCTCGTCGATGGCCTCCTGCACCTCGTCGCTGGAGGTGGCCACCTCGGCCTGCGCGGAGAGCATGGCGCACGCGAAGGCCCCCACGGTGGCGCCCAGCGCCGAGTAGAAGGCCCAGCCGAGCGAGCACGAGGCCGGGCGGAAGGGGCCCGCGCTGGGCCCGCAGAGGTCGCGGACGCGTGGTGAGCCCCAGCCCGCGGCGTACAGCACTAGGCCCAGCAACAGCAGCAGGCCTGGGCACGGGCGGTGGGGGTGGTGGCGGGGCGAGGGGTTAAGGTTGAGGGGGTCGAGGGTTGAGGGGGTCGAGGGTGAGGGTGGGGGTTGAGGGGTGAGGGGTGAGGGTTGAGGGTTGAGGGGTGAGGGGTGAGGGTTGAGGGTTGTGGGGTGACAGTTGAGGGGTGACGGTTGAGGGGTGAGGGTTGAGGGTTGAGGGGTGACGGTTGAGGGGTGAGGGGTGAGGGTTGAGGGGTGAGGGTTGAGGGGTGAGGGTTGAGGGTTGAGGGGTGACGGTTGAGGGGTGAGGGGTGAGGGTTGAGGGTTGAGGGGTGACGGTTGAGGGGTGAGGGGTGAGGGTTGAGGGGTGAGGGTTGAGGGGTGAGGGTTGAGGGGCGAGGTTCAGGTTTGGTGGTGAAACAAAGCATACATCATGATAAACTCATAGACTCGTAGACAGTACCGTAATTATACACTCAGAGATGCGTATAATTGTAAACTAATATACTCGTATTTATAAACTCACAGACTCGTCTGGTTATAAACCTCATACCCAGGAGGTCATACTCAGAATGTGTCAATGTTGATTTCCATATGCAGCGTGACATCACTTGATGTGACGTCACTTCCGGCGACGTCGCAATTCGCTGCACAATCCGAAACGAACTTTATTCATTTGTTTACCGGGAGCATTCCCAAAATTCCGTGCCGAGGCCCCCTCGTTTTGAATTCCCGATGAATCCAAAAATGTGGGGGGTATAAAACACCCCGTGGGCGGAGTGGTGGTGCGGTGGTGTCACACTGGAACATGTTTGGGGGTGGGGGTGGGAAAGAGCTTTATAGCTCATCGGATTCCTCCACTATCAATATTCTGATAGATAAAGGCTCTTGGCGATTCTGACTCGCGCCTCACGGGCAAAGGGGGACCTGGGTTCGATTCCCGACGCGGGTGCCTCTCTGCGTGGTGCTTGTCTGCTCCCTCCGCCTGTCCCGCGTGGGTTCCCTCTGGGATTTCTTCCACGGCAAAACAAACAAGCAAACGCACCGTAGCTCGTCGTTGGCCACGCATCCCAATGTATCGGGAGCCTCCTGGGTAAATGAGCAATGCAAAATCGAATTTCTTGACTGAAAGCTTTCGTGACTGCGGGAATTCGATATTCTTTTGGGTCCGTCGGTGAAGTCACGTCGGTAGGTTCAAAGAAAATAACAAAACAAAAAACTACAATCATCAAAACACTCAAAGTAGTTCTGGAAGAAATTGGTTCTTTCGGTAAAGTCACGTAGAATGAAAATGAAATAATAATACATAATATTTCCCTTCTACGTGTGGTGACTTTACCGAAAGAACCAAGAAAATAAATCCCTGCAGTCACGAAAGCTTTAAATCGAAATCTAGTTCTTTTTTGTGATTTTCTTTGAACCTATCTACGTGGTGACTTTCCCAAAAGACCCAAAGAATATCGAATTTATTTTTTTAAACGATCATTGGACATCTGCGAAAGGGCGGCACGGCACATGAGTGGCCAACACGTCGCCTCGCCGCCTTTGTATTCCCAGTGCCGGTGTTTATACACACCGCCCTTACTGGACATCTGTGAAAAAAGAGCTTTATAGCTCATCGGATTCCTGCAGGATAAATATTCTCATTCTGAGAGTCGCAGGTCTCCCCCTGAGTCTCTGTGTCCTGAAGATGATTCCCCCCCCCCCCCCGGGGGTTCCACAATCGCCTCTGTGGGTGTCCAGCAGGACCCTCTTGACAAAAAAAAAACGTCTTGAGGCTCGACGAGACTTTCCCGGACAAACCAACGACTTTATAATTGTCATCATCATCTTCATCATCATCCGAGTCTCAGCCAATCGGTGTGCGTTGTGGCTGCGGCCGTTATCAGCGTGTGTGTGTGTATATAAACACACACATTTCCGGTGATTACGTTCATTGGCCGTGTCATTATTCACAACCCAAGTTTCCTTCCCCCCGAGATCCCAGGAATTGCTGCTGCTGCCGCCGCTTGATTCAATGGTACCACCCCCCCCCCCCCATCTCTCTCTCCCATACACACGTGCACACGTCCTGTTTTTACGTGTGTGCGTATGCATGTTGAACTCCTTTCACACCGTGCGTGGCCAACCATGCTCATCCAAATGTGCCGGGGAAGGACAACGAACTAAACACAACAAGCAGTTCTAAAGAAATTAGTTTAGATTTTTGTTTACAATTGTAAACATTTTTTTTTATTTTGCTAGGTAAGGCGCCCACTGAGCTGTGTAGCTCCGTTTCGGAAGCAAACTGGCCTCACGTGACAGCTCAACGAAGGGGCTCATCATCATCATCACGTGGAAATGTATCGCAGCCAAATACTCTAAACGCGTGCTGTCGATTCTAAATGTGGTCGGGCAAAACCGGAGCACCCGCAGAAAAATCCACGCGACCACGGGGACAGAAACAGACACGCAAACTCCAAATACACAGCAGCAGCAGCAGGCGTCGTCAGGGTCGGGATCGAACCCACGGCCTCCTGCGTACCAGGCGAGGTAGTTAACATCTCCCAGCCACGTCTGGTGCCAATCACACCACGTCGCACCGTCGCGTCGCACCGCGCCACCACCGGCGACAGCCTGCACCAGGCCGCAGCACCGCAGCACCGCGTCGCCACCACGCCGGCGCCGCGCCACCGGCGCCGCCACTCACCGGCGACGGCCTGTACGAGGCCGCACACGTTGAAGATGCTCTTGCGCGCGACGCTCTGCACGCACAGCGAGAGCACGGAGCTGAGCGCGAGCAGCGCTAGCAGCAGCAGCGCCGCGCCCAGGAACACGCCGCTCGCCTGCCACAGGCCGCTGGCCAGCTCGCCGAAGGAGGCGGCGTACGGCCCGCACGACTCCTCCGCCTCCCCGCCGGGCCCCGCGGGGCGCACCATGCGGCACCGGTTGTAGACGCCAAGCGAGGGCCGGTACGACGAGCCGCCGCCGCCGCCGCCGCCCGCGGCAACCGGCGACACCACGAGATGGTGGGGGGCCGCCGCGTCGTCCAGCTGGTGGTGGTTGTGGTGGCTGTGGTTGTGGTGACGGTGCTGCCGGTGCTGGCTGTGGTGGTTGCGGTGGTGAGTCGCCGGGGACGGCGGCTGACCGAGGATGTCCGCCGGCGCGGCGCCGGCGGTGGAGCGGTTGGCGACGACGCCGCCGATTCCGCCGCCGCCGGCGGCGACGACGACGCCGGCGGCTCCGGCCTCCTCGCCGACGAGCCACTCGGTGCTGAGGAACGCGGCCATCTCGGCGAACGCCGTGGCGATGCTGAGCAGCGTCCACAGCAGCGAGCGGCACGTGACGATCACCTGGCACATGGCGGAGGTCTGGCGGAGACACCACATGGGGGGGTGGGAGGAGACACGCAGACGTGAGACGAGACGGGATCGGAGGAGATACGAGCGGAGTCAAAGGCAGTGGGACAGCACGTGACGATCACCTGGCAGGTGGCGGAGGTCTGACGGAGGTGCCATTAAACTTTAAACTTTTTTATTGTGCCGGGTAAGGCCCATTGAGCTATAAATATATTGTTTTCAGAAGCGACCTGACCACAAATGATAGCTCAACGAAGTGGCTTATCGCGTGGGTATTTATAGCGGCCAAATACTCTGAAATGCGTGATGTTGATTCTTCATGTGGAGGGAGAAACCAGAGGACCCGGAGAAAAATCCACGCGACCACGGGGAGAGAGAGAGAGAGACACGCAAACTCCAAATATACAGCAGCAAGCGTCAGGGTCGGAATTGAACCCATGACCTCCTGTACACCAGGCGAGGTAGTTAACATCTCCTAGCCACCGTGGCGCCGCACGTGGACACCACGCGGGGACGCGGGGAGACACGCAGACAGCATCGGAGGAGACACGAGCAGAGTCTATCTAGCCGGGCGGTGGTGGCTACTCGCGTGGCGTGGAATCCGATGTCGTGGAGAAGAGAGTTTGGCAGGTCACCAAAAATGACGTGAACCTCCATCTCCCTTCCCGTGAGCGGGCGTTGAGGAGGTGCCCTTTACCCTGGCTCGCCAGCAAAGTGCAGACTAATCTCGTCAGCCCCATCAGTGCGGGATCGAGCGTTGCTCCCCCGCGCACGCGTGGGCTATCTCCCGCATGCGAGCACTCATTAATCGGCCAACTTCAAGTCGAAGTTATTGTAATTATTAAATAATCTAGAGCAGGAAATGGCACCTGACAATCACCTGGCACATGGGTAAGTCCGGTGGAGACACGGGGAGACGGGGCGGGTGGGGAGGGAGACACGGGGGGACGGGGCGGGTGGGGAGGGAGACACGGGGAGACAAGGGGGTGGGGAGGGAGACACGGGGGGACGGGGCGGGTGGAGAGGGAGACACGGGGGGACGGGGCGGGTGGGGAGACACGGGGAGACAAGGCGAGTGGGGAGGGAGACACGGGGGGACGGGGTGGGTGGGAAGGGAGACACGGGGAGACAAGGCGGGGTGGGGAGGGAGACACGGGGAGACAAGGCGAGTGGGGAGGGAGACACGGGGAGACGGGGTGGGTGGGGAGGGAGACACGGGGAGACAAGGGGGGTGGGGAGGGAGACACGGGGAGACGGGGTGGGTGGGGAGGGAGACACGGGGAGACAAGGCGGGATGGGGAGGGAGACACGGGGAGACGGGGCGAGTGGGGAGGGAGACACGGGGAGACGGGGTGGGTGGGGAGGGAGACACGGGGAGACAAGGCGAGTGGGGAGGGAGACACGGGGAGACGGGGTGGGTGGGGAGGGAGACACGGGGAGACAAGGCGAGTGGGGAGGGAGACACGGGGAGGGAAGCACGGATTCCTCCAGGATAAAGAGACGACTCGTACGATTTTTGAAAGGAGGAGACGCCGGCGGAATCCGGAGAGGAAATTACGCTTCGCCGACAGCGCCAAGAGATTTTTGAGCAGCAGCCTGCGTGGAAGACGCCGATTAATAACGGAGCTTCCCAGGACTCGAGTTCGCTGACGGTAACGCACGCACAGCACAATCGCAGAGTCACACGCGATAGCGGAAGGGGGGGGGGGGTGTGTGTGGGGGGCGGGGGGGGTGGGCCGCGAAGCTTAGCAGCCCCCCGAAATATTGATTAGTGGTTCTTGCGCCCCTTTGGTTCTCAATCGTAAAAAAAAATGAAAGTCAAGTGTTAATAAACACACGGGGTTTGATGAAACAAAGTAAGTTTAACTTATGTGCTCCGTGCTTCATGTGTTTCGATGATTTACCTTGTAAAAAAATAAAAAAAATCTGCCCTTGTCTCGCACCCCCCAGAATGGGCATCTCGCACCCCCAGGTTAAGAAGAAGAACCACTGTGATAGATAATTTTTTGCCCGGGTGGTGAGGGGGGCACCCCCACTTTACACTGCGGTGGGGGGCCCTGGGTAAGTCCGTAAACATTGGTGTATATTGACATCTAAAGGAACTGTCAGCCTGCACGTCCCTGGCACGTGAGCGACCATCCGTCCCTTCCCTGCGGCCAGCCAGCCAGCCAGCCGGCAAAACTTTCGTCTCATCGAGTGTGAGAGAGTACGAGAGAGCGTATCGACACACGGCCCCGGGGTAGAGGGTGGGGTGGGGGTGATGACGTCAACACGACCCCGCACGAACCCCCGGCGGGTGACGTCACCACCGCAGCTGTGGTGGTGACGTCATCACACCCACTCCACGTAGCGCTCGCGCGCAAGCCAGCCAGGCAGCCAGGCAGGCAGACAGGAATCCAGGGGGAGAAATATTCAAACGAACTCCGCAGGGGAAAGGAACAGAGTATCGGGGGTGGAACCCGCGCGCTTTCTTGCTCCGAGGCACGAGTCACCACTGACGCCGTCACCCCCTGGCTGTGGTCGTGTCAAATTAAAACGGAATTATTACACAATTCAGTTCGGTTTCCAGAAATGATCCGTCCCTCCTTCTCGAATGTTGCAGCTGAGTGCGTCGCTGCTCAACAAAAGACAAATACCCCCCCCCCCACCCCGTATAGCTTCAACGGACATTTCGGGACAAGCATTTACTTTGTCGTCCGTGGAAAAAAAAGAGCTTCATAGCTCATCAGATTTCTTCAGCATAATTATTCGGCGTCCTGAAGTGCTGCGAGCGAGTGCCGGCACGGCAGAAGGTGGCCAAGCACCACACCCGGCGAACCATTGTCTCTCTTCTTCTTTGGTTATTTCGGTAAAGTCACCACGTAGAATGAGAATAAAATAATAAATTGATAAAATAAAATAACACAATAATATTCTCACGACGTTTCGGCCACAACACAAGCGGCCTTCATCAGGTGAAGGGACGAGACTGTCTGGTAGGACAGCGCTGGAGTGAAAGAGCCACGTTCAGATCAAGACCTTTAAGCTGTGTGAGAGGAAACAAAGCGCCTTGACAAAGGAATTAGCATATAATTTAGCATTGAAATGGCTGAATGATTAGCTTGTGACTGGTCACAGAAATAGCTATGTTAAAAGTTAAAGCATACACATCCGCAGAGGCACCCCTTGACAAAGGAATTAGCATAGAATTTAGCATTGAAATAGCTGAGTGATTAGCTTGTAACTGGTCACAGAAATAGCTACGTTAAAGTCAGAGCATACACATTCACCGAGGCACTTAGTACAAATCAAACAGGAGAATTTAGCATTGAAATAACTAGGCGAATTTAGCATTGAAATAACTGAGTGATTAGCTAGTGACTGGTCACAGAGATGACTATGTTGAAGTCAAGGCCTACACATCTGAGCTATTCACAGTACTATATAGTGAACCAATAAAAGACTAAAATATAATTGTCTCCCTATTGGCCATGTCTACCACACACCGCGCCAGGTGCTCTACGTAACGCCGAGCCGACCTTGGGGAGGCCCAGGGCCGGTTTCAGACCATCGTCGCCGATGTTGGCCGTGAGCGGGAATCGAACCCGGGTGGCAAAGTTCCGTGGCGCAGCAGAGCGCTAACCGCTCCACACGGCGCGACAACAACAGCCACTCGCCGCTCAGTGGAGGTGAGATCACCACGCCGCGTGTGCCAGGCTAGGTGCACTTTAAGGTCCACGTGAAGTATCGAAAGCTCGCTGCCAGAAGGTCAAGGAACAGACCCCCAGCTGATGCCACGGGGTTGACCGACTGTCAATGGCACGCACAAACGCAAGCGTCAAAGACAAAGACCCCCCCCCCCCGTATAGCCTCAACAAACTGTTTGGGGGGGCAAGTGCTGTTAGCGAGCACGCAAGCGTCACTCACTCACACACAAACACGTGCGTGAGCGGGTATTCAAGGAACAGACCCCCAGCTGATGCCATGATGTTGACTGTCTACAGATGACACCCACGCTCTCACGCACGCACGCACGCGTCACTCACTCACTCACAGACACACACACGTGAGTGACTCACAGCGACCACAAAGACTCCGCTGGCCGACTGCGTCTCTACGACACCCGCAGCAAAGCGGCGTCGCCAGTGAACGGGGAAATAAAACAAGTGGCTGACGCCCCAACATTTGTTACACCGCCCCCCCCACCGCAGTGTACAGTGGGGGGCCCCTCCTCACCACCCGGGGCCCCCCACTGCAGTGTAAAGTGGGGGGGGGGGGGGGCCTCCTCACCACCGGGCCCCCCACCGCAGTGTAAGAGTGACTGGAATGGTTTCATTCCCTGCGGCGTCCACTCCGCGTTTCGTAACTCAATATCCACCCTCCCACCCCCACCTCGAGAATATTCACTGTTTTGTTCAAAATGACTTCAGTTTTGGGTGCGTGGGGTGTGCTGGTGGTGATGGTAGTGTTGGTGTGGTGGTGTGTGTGGTGGTGGTGGTGTTTATGGTGTAATGGTGGCGTGTGTGTTGGTGGTGATGTTGGTGGCGGTGGTGTGTGTGGTGGTGTGGGTGATCGTGGTTTGTGTGGTGGTGGTGGTGGTATGTGATGGTGGTGTGTGTGGTGGTGGTGATGTTGGTGTGTGTGGTGGTGGTATGTGATGGTGATGTGTGTGATGGTGGTGTGTGTGGTGGTGGTGTATGTGATGGTGGTGTGTGTGGTGGTGATGTTGGTGTGTGATGGTGGTGTGTGTGATGGTGGTGTGTGATGGTGGAGTGTGTGATGGTGGTGTGTGTCGTGTGTGTGGTGGTGGTGTGTGGTGGTGGCGATGTTGGTGTGTGTGGTGGTGGTATGTGATGGTGGTGTGTGTGGTGGTGATGTTGGTGATGGTGGTGTGTGTGATGGTGGTGTGTGATGGTGGAGTGTGTGATGGTGGTGTGTGTGGTGTGTGTGGTGGTGGTGGTGATGGTGGTGGTGTGTGTGGTGGTGGTATGTGATGGTGTGTGTGGTGGTGGTATGTGATGGTGGTATGTGGTGGTGGTGGTGTGTGTGATGGTGGTGTGTGGTGGTGGTGGTGTGTGTGTGATGGTGGTGTGTGTGTCTGTCTGTGTGATGTTGGTGTGTGTGATGGTGGTATGTGGTGGTGGTGATGGTGGTGTGTGTGGTGGTGGTATGTGGTGGTGATGGTGGTGTGTGTGATGGTGGTGTGTGGTGGTGGTGATGGTGGTGTGTGTGATGGTGGTGTGTGTGGTGTGTGTGGTGGTGGTGTGTGGTGCTGGTGATGTTGGTGTGTGTGGTGGTGGTATGTGATGGTGGTATGCGTGGTGGTGTGTGTGTGGTGGTGGTGTGTGTGATGGTGGTATGTGGTGGTGGTGATGGTGGTGTGTGTGATGGTGGTATGTGGTGGTGATGGTGGTGTGTGTGGTGGTGGTATGTGTGTGATGGTGGTGTGTGTGATGTTGGTGTGTGATGGTGGTGTGTGGTGGTGGTGGTGGTGATGGTGGTGTGTGTGTCTGTCTGTGTGTGTGCGGTGTCCGGCAAAAACAGCCCCCTACCTCCTCGTTGGTGTCGGATGGCAACTCTGTGGTGAGCAGTGCCGTGGGGGGAGGGCCAATTGAGATTGGCCATTCCCCTCATCCCCTCATGGCGTTTGTAACCACCACAGCGGCCAAAAGGGGGCTCTGGACGGATGCGAGGGGCTGGTAACCCTTCCACTTTCAATTAATTACCACAAAACCCCGTCTAAAATATCTAATTAAGCTTGTGCCGGAGGCCCCGGGGGGACAGGCGTCTATGACGTCTCTTGGCCAAACCCCATTAGGCGGAGCCAGAACATTGAATCCTTACCCTCGGGGCTCCTCCAGAAACAACAAAAAACCACTGCGGGTGGCCACGTGGAATGTTAGAATGCTCACTGCGGAGGAGAGGCTGCTACTCCACTGTCAGGAGCTGGACCGGTACCGCCTGGACCTCTTTGGTATTCAGGAAGTCCGGTGGACCGGCTCTGGCTCCTGCCACCATGAGGGGTGGACAGTCCTTTACTCGGGGCAAGAGAATGCCAAACAACAGGGGGTAGCTCTTCTTCTGAACAAAAGAATGAAGGGGGCGTGGGAGTGTGGCGGTGAGGTGTGGGAAGCGGTAAGCCCCAGGCTACTTTGGGCTCGCCTTCCCATCAACGAGAGTCCAGGAGTGGTGGTCGTGGTTACTTATGCCCCCACGGAAGACGAACATCCGTGGAGGGATGCAGGCAAGGCCGATGAGTCAGATACCTTCTATGACCTCCTGTCACAGGTGCTAGCTAAAGTGGCCCCTTGGGATAGAGTCATCTTGTTGGGCGACTTCAATGCCTGAGTTGGTCATGATGCTGGCACCTGGTCTGGAGTGGTTGGAATGCATGGGCCAGATCAGCTCAATAACAACGCTAGGAGGCTGCTAGACTTTTGTGGACCCCATGAGCTTGTAATTACCAAGATGCTGTTCCGGCATCGGCGCATCCACACAACATCATGGATGCATGCCAGGTCCAAGCAAGAACATCTGCTGGACTACATAGTGATGGAACAGCGGATGCGGGCCCATGTCCTTGACACCAGGACCTACCGTGGAGCTGATCTGCCCACTGACCATCGACTTGTCATCTGTAAGATGCGCCTGCCATTCTTCCGCTCCGGTGGTGGGGGTACACCCACGACCCCATTCAAACCCAAAGTGTCCTGGTCTCAGCTAGCTGATGAAAGTTGCAGGCGAGAATTTCATCATCGCTTGCGGCTGGGGTTTGGCATCATCCCCCACTCCTCCAGATGTCGAGGAGAAATGGGCGAAGTTTAGGACTGTGGTTCATGCAGCTGCAATGGCTGCTTTGGGTACACGGTCCAGACCTCCCCAGAGACCCTGCCTGACAGATGAGGTGTTCAGGCTGGCTGAGAAAAAGCAACAGGCCCACTCTCATCGTCTACAGCATTCCACGTCAGAGAATGAGGAGGCTATCCGCAACCTTCACTCGGAGGGTCGGAGAGCCATGAGGTGCTGCAAGGATGGCTGGTGGTCACAGGTTGTTGAGGAGATGGAGTCTGCCTCAATGGCCCGCGATCACAAATCGCTATTTAACTTCATAAAAAAAGTAACCTGCAACGCCACACCTATTACCATCATTAGGGGAAAGAACGGTGATCCAATCTCCGACCCCCAAGAACAGGTTTGCACATTTTCTGAGCATTTCTGTGAGGTCCTGGGGGAGGGGAAATCCCTCAGCCTGGAACACATCGTGGGACAAAGTGGGGATGACCCTGCTGAGGCTGCGGTGTCTCAAATATTGCAAGAAGTCATCTCCTGTGAGTGGCTGGCTGAGGTGCCAACTATTGAGGAAGTACTGAAGGCGATCCAGAGCCTGAGACCAGGAAAGGCACCGGGTTGAGATGATCTCCCAAGCGAAATGCTGAGGGAGGGTGGCGTTTGTGCACAGACTGCCCTACATGACATCATAACAACAGTCTGAACCACTGGACGGGTTCCGTAGGATTGGAAAGATGCCCTGGTGGTCCCCCTCTTTAAGAAGGGGGACCGCACAGACTGTAACAACTACAGGGGCATCTCACTGCACAGTTTGCCGGGAAAGGTTCTGGCAAGGATTATTCAACATCGACTTGCTAGGCACGCTGAGGAGATGCTTGCAGAGCACCAATGTGGTTTCAGGACAGGACGGTCCTGCATAGGTGCCATATTTTCTGTCCGTTTGCTACAGAAGAGGTGTAGGGAATTCCAACAAGCCCAACATCTCTGCTTTATTGACCTGCTCAAGGCCTATGATACCATCAGTAGGCCTGGGCTCTGGGTTGTTCTTTGTGCTTTCGGAGTCCCTGACCCGCTGCTCACAATCATTAAGGACCTTCATGATGGTGAGCGGGCCCGGGTAAAACTACGTAGCCAGGAGTCGGAGCAATTCCCTGTTCACCTTGGGGTGCGACAGGGATGTCCTCTGACTCCAACATTACTTAACATCTATTTCGACCACGTAGTTCGTGAAGCCTTAAGTAGCTGTACCGGAGGAATTTCCATCTGGTACAGATACAATGGGAGGCTGATCGACGCCCAGGTGCGGTCATGGGATGGCTCCCTATTGGTCAACTACGTTATGTATGCCGATGACCTGGTAATTGCGGCTCACTCAGAGGAGGAGTTGGAGGCGCTGCTGCTGAAACTAGAGTGTGCCACTAAGAGGTGGGGCCTTACCATCAGCCCCACCAAAACTAAGCACCTGCCTGGGTATTTTGTACCATCGGGAACTCCACCCCAACACCTCCCAATCGGTGATGGGGCAGTTGTGGAGAGAGTGGAGAGTTTCCCATACCTGGGCAGTGTGCTCATGACCGACTCCGGTTTAACAGCAGAGGTCTCACTCCGAATCAGTCGAGCGGCAATATCTTTTCATCGGTTGAGTAACGCTGTGTGGAAGCTACCTGGTCTGTCGCTTCGCACTAAGCTTCAGGTCTTCTCGACCACGGTCATTCCCCCCCTTCTCTACGCTTGCGAAATGTGGACACCCCTAATGGAACATCTTCG